GGGAGTCTATTTTAGCATTACATCAAGACTTCTGTTTATTTATTTGCTTGTTTGTTTAGCCTTTTTAATGTATTGTCACTGACCAGTTCAATCCCACGTCACAGAGCAAAGTGCAGTATTAGAGACCAAAGGGTGATAACCCCTGAACCTTGTCCCCTGTCAGATACCCTCTAGTCTCCTGAACCATGTCCTGTCAGATACCCCCTAATCCCCTGAACCTTGTCCCTTGTCAGCTATCCCCTAATCCCCTGATTCTTGTGTTTCCTGTAATATCCTCCAGTGCTCATTATGGTCTCCATTGTTTTGCACAAATCCAGAAGCCTGATCTTTAACTGACTCTTATCCTCGAAAAATCTAACCCATCTTTTTCTTGCTCAAACAGAAGATACCCTAATAACCTCACAAAACCAATATGTGTAAAAACTGGCTCTTCATAACACGGAACAGTATTTTTTACAGGGCAGTCATCAGCAGGATAGTATCAAGACTCAACACACAATTAATCTACTGTTTAATTGAAAACTGGGCCACTCTGAGAACTCAGTGCTCCTGATGTACAAGCACGTCAGTTATCGGGGGAAAAGTGTTTGAGGCCACAGAACCAGCTGGATTTGGATAAGAGAAGATTTAGATGAATAAAGAGAACCCAAACAGCTCAAGGACAGGCAGGCGGACTCACCATGAGGGCCAGTAGTTTGCCATAGGTCAGGTGGGCAGGAATATGGTCAGGCTTCACCCTGAGGGACTCCCTGTACCAGTATTCAGCCTCGGCCAACTTGTTCAGCTTCATGTAGGCCTCTCCTGTGGTGGGGAGAGGGTGGTGGGTTAATTAAATGAAAATTAAGCCTTCAAGAGGTTGATCTTCGGTAAGCTTGTGTTTACTTGTTAAACAGTCATCTAGAAGTTAGCTATTAGATATTCTGGACACATCTATGTCAGTTTCCAGGTTCAGTTGCTCACATCCACAAAGGCTGGGGAGATGCAGGGCTAGACATAAGCCGCGGCACCGCGGCCAATGGCTGTCGTGCCTTTCAAAATTGGCCGCACGCCTCCTCAAAATTGAAGTACTTTACGGCCAAGATTGGCCTGCCTTTAATGTTTGTCTGGTCGTATGCCCCCTTTTTACCGAAAGTAACGTTCATTACACAAAAGACTTGCGCACGACACGGTCCACTTTACC